CTTCTTTGAAAATTATGTCACCTATTTACAGCTCAGATCCACAACTGATTTATGGCAGCTTAACAAGTTACCATCTATCAGCTGAACTACTATAATTGTCCATGAAATTCTTTTATTGAAGTTTTTAACAAGTCACATTCCCTCACAGCTGGGGAGGTTGAGGAGCCCATGAACAGTTACTGGAAGTGACTACAGCTCAGTTAGCAGGTGTGACTTGCTGAGCCATTGATTTGATGAGAACCTCATTCTTGACTAGGCACCTAAGTAAGGATGGAAGAGCCTAAATTTGGAACTATGTCTTTGCAGATCTTATGCTAGAAGCACACTGATTCTTACCTTAGGTGACAAAGGAGCAAAGGTGACAAACATGGTTTGTTTGATTTCCCCACCAGAGACCTGACAGATCTGGTTTTGTTTGTTGGCCTGTATGCCATCCATGGAATCAGATAGAAATGTAAGCAGGGAAAATGCATTTCACCAAGTTTTATTTGTGTGGAGTTTTATACCTTAACGTAGGACTGAAATTGTGTTGCACACATAGAAGTCTTGTCTGGGCACTCAAGTTCAGATTCTGTGATGCTTTTGTGTGAAATGTGTTCAACACTTGTGTGAAGAATTGAAGAAGAACTGGTTACAGCTATGGGCACTCTGCCTACAGCTGTCCTTTTCCCAAATGCAAAGGAAGTTGAAAAACCAACAGTTTCAATTCACACTGAACAGTGATCTTCTTGCAAAGCTCTGGAAAGTCAGGTGAGGTTCCTCCACTACTGAAATTTTATCCAGTGACTTCCATTACTGCCAGTTTAGGATCTGCCCCCTTGTCAGCGTGGCCAGGGAATGGCTTCAGGTTGGAAAAATACTGGGTAGAGCGAAAGGGATGGGAAGCAGGAAATCTTTAGACCAGTTTTGCCAAAGAAGTCCCTGCATTTGGTAAGCAATAGTTTGAGAGATAGAAAATCACCTGTGGAGTTCATGTATCTCTCACTTTATGGGGCTGAGCAGCAAAGGTCTGGGTCTTACTCACATTGATATAAATCAGAAGAAAATTCCTTGAAATTAAATTAATGTGACAGAGTTGTAGAGGGTGATGGATGCAGACATGGCTTGGTGGAAACCATTTATTTAAGCACTCGTTTCGTGTGCAGTGACAGCCTTGGAGTCCGCTGGCTGAATAGAAGGATTCACAATCACCAACTGCATATCTAAGCACCGGGGTGAGATTTCATAAGCTACTCCAAACTGGGAATTTCCCCTGAGCCAACATCATTACGTACACAAAAGAATCTCACTAGTTGCAATTTATTTTTATATCCTCGGAGAAGTTGAAACTGAGCTTGAGTGGAGCAAATATGGAAAGTTTATTTCTTCTTTCAAGCAAGAGACCTTCACCTCTATTGGGAGACCCATGTCCTGGTTGCTGCCAACCATCTGTCCTGAGTGGGAGATTCACTGAGCTGGAGAGCACTGGTCTGATGGGAACGTACCGCAACTGCAGGAAGTCCAAGGGCACACTGTGCACAGAAACTGAGGAGAGAGGTGTCTGTTAGAGTGAAAAATCTGGTAGTTACATTGTTAAGTCCTTTCTGCTTGATTCTTACAGCAAATCTTCACATGCTCGGTTTACATTTATTTGCACTGAAATAGAGCCCACTACCTCTCCACACCAGTCGTTGACACAGTATTTTGTGCACAACACTGAATCTGCACAAATTCAATGTGCTTTTAATGCATCTATCTAGAAGTTACTGTGAAAAGACAAATACCCCAAAACCCAAACAAACCAGGCTTTGTAAGCAGATCAGTAGTTCTAGTGCAAGGTAAAGCAGCTTGGTTTTAATGAGTGTGATAGACAGACGCCTTCAGAGATGACGACTTTATGTGAAATGTTCTAGGAATATTTCATGACCAGGTTACTGTACTTTTTTTTTTTACTGCAACATGTGCAATTCACTTGACATTCTTGTGCACTTTTTTGATTTTTTTATTTCATTTTGTATGAAAGCTTTTTCATTTACCTTTTCCTTCCCGTTATTTATAAAAGCTATTGTGGTTTTAACAGTCTAAATTTGCATTGTTGTAGTAAATAGCAGCTCTTGAATGTTATGTTTCCATCTTTCAAACAAAGTATGAATAAACAAGTAGATTCTGAAGGGCTATCAGCTGTCCTGAATAGCAACATTGAGCAACCAAACACAAAAATAGCCAGGAAAAGTCTGAATTAAGCTAAATTTACCATCAAAATTATTAATTGTTCAATCTCAGGGGTGAGAGAACAGTAAGTATTATTAGAGAGGAGACGGAGTTGCTATTCTTTGCAAACCTTTTGCAAAGTCTCACACATCCCCATTCTGTGATTTTGAATATACTTAACAGTTGTCTTCTGTTCATTTGTGGTTTACTTCACTGCTGCTCCGGTTCAGAGTCACAGCAAGGGCTTCTGCCTGCCCTGGGTTAAGGAGGGAAGTTCCATATCACAAAAGACTTTAAAGATTTTTTGAAAAGTAACATAATTTTGAATCTGAAGGTAAGCACATAAATATCTGTGTGTTGGAGGTTACTTGGAATGGTCTGGTTTAATCCTTCATCATAACTTTAAAAAGCTATTCTACTGCATGGAAAATGTACAGCAACACACATTCAAATATGAAACAGTTTAAAAGAAGAAAAGAAAAACAAAACAAATAATTTAATATCCAAAAGGCAGAAACTTGATTTTAACTCTTTTCTTTTTCTGAATTTCTCTAAAAATAAAATTTCTACAGAGGCTATCCACTTTACCAAGTATTTTAACTTTGATAGAAATCTACATTCTAGTGTGACATGCAGCACTTTCAGTTTTCCCTCCTGACCTGAAGCAGGAACACTTGTCCACAGCAATCACTGCAATACCTGTGGTTCATTCCACGACCTGCTCTGGTAACACAGATGGAAATCCAGAGCGATGCCAAGGAGTCTGCTCTGCATTAACAGCACTGAGACAGAGTTCAGCATCAGGCTTCATCTGGGTTACAACAATGACTCAGAGCTATTGGTGAAAGCACCCCTGTTTCCTGACAAAAAATCCTTTGCCTACAGCTGTGCAAATTCAGAGCCATAGTTCTCCTCCCACTAAACTAAATGCGGGTACTGCCTCTGATTTCTGTTACAGTCTCTTCATGGAGAGGGACAGAGTCTCCTAACAGATTTTTCCCAAACAGACTTCTGGATCAAGAGCAAGCCTGATGCCTTTGACCCTTAGACCAGCTCTTGCACCTTGCACGTAGTTGCACATATGTGCTACCAAAGCCATTTCCTGCTCTTTCTCCTAGCTGCAGTCTACACAGGCTTGATACACATATTAAGAGCTGGTAGCAGGCAGAAAGCAATGAAAGCCATCCCCGTTTCTACTTTTGGTCTGAGAGACTAACATATTACAGCCATTGTTTCCATAAAAGTAAGCATCAGTGGGATATACTGAGAAGTTTGGGGAAATAATGAGCTACTTTTGGCCTGAGAGTTGTTTATATCCTAACTAAAGTTGCGACTTGATTATATAACACCAAGCCCATCAGAAGAACCCAAATGACACTCTGTGGTGGCTTAAGATGGTAACTTTTTCATGTGTGCAATGCACTGGAAAGAAGCATTGCATGGCTTTCCCCTTATGGAGATACCAAGAGTCATGATGAGCTACACTAGCCAGAGACCAAGAAGATTGAGTGTACTTTTTGTTGAATCCTGGGAGAAGTTCCCATTAGCTCCAGCCAGAGAAAGTTAAGGTCCTGGGAGATCGCAGGTGTCCATTCTCTGGCCCTTTCCCCTCCCATAATACACTTCTCTTGACTTCAGTGATTTACTCCAGCACAACTGAATAGATATATAGGCCTGCAATATTAAACCTTTCAGATGTCATGTTCTGTGCCTTAGCGCCACTTTCTCCACGGGTTTAAGAGAAATCCAACTCAAAAAAAATCCCCTATTAACTTTTTTAAGGCCACTTTGTTAAAATAATTGAGAAAATACTGGGCAAATCATTTGCAGCCAGGTCTTGTATTAACATCTCAAGATCAGGCAAAACAAAAGATATCTGTGAGACAGAAACCAAGGCAGGCTATTCTGTACACTTTTATCTTCTATCATATTTTGCAGTTTTGTATTTAACTAATTATACAATTTCTCATTTGTTCTGTTGATGCAGAACAATTCCTGATGCGGAAATTCATCCTGCTTCCATTTGCACCAGCTTAACACTAGCTAATTTCCCAGCCCCAGAAGAATTGCTTTTGATTTACATCACTCTGAATAGGCAGAGATTTCAACCCTTATATCTACCCACCAGCTGCAAATGAAACCTGTGTCTACCCGGTGGGGCAAAAATAAACAGACTGCATTTGCAGAATCACCAAAACAAAATCACCTCCTTTCTTCTTTTATTTCTTTTTTAATTCTCTCGGTATTTACATACAAGAAGAGCTTGAATCAACTCGCAAGCATGGTTTCTACATTAAATACTGTCCTTCCAGTCTCTTGCACGCAGAAGGAATTGACCTGAATATCTTGACTTCTCTGGAATTACTTTAAAGTACAAAAACTCTTTGAATGGGTTTAATTCATTTAATTTCTCTGCTGCCACCTCAGGGCAACCCCAGAAAGATGTTCCCACATGGAGGAGGTCTCGTAGGTGTTACAAGCATGGCTATGCATGGCCCGCAGCCCTGCTCGCTGCAGCTCAGACAATGCCCATCAATGAAAGAGCCCTGCTTTGCCTCACACTCCGTGCCCCTGGCTTCGTAAGGCTTATTCCCAATTTACACCCATGTACTGAGAGGAGAGTGGAGCCTGAGTAGCTTCCCAGCAGTTACTAATTCACCCCAGCCCACCCAAGAGTAAGAGGGTGCAATCGCCGGCCCCCGGTCCCCCGCTGCTCCATGCTGCAAGCAGCTCAAGCCTGGAGCCCCACCGGGTGTTTCAATTCACTCTCAGGAGCTGTCGTGTTCAGCGTGACTCTGACACCTCCCCGGCTAAAGATAGCTGAAAACATTGAAGATCGGCGGGGGCACAGCAGGCTTGGTGGGGATGGGTTTCAAAACTACGGGCCTGTAGAGGTTCTGTCCCATGCCATCAGCCTCCTTGCAGAAGTGCGGCACCTCCGCCGGCAGCGTGGCCGCACTCTTCCTCCACAGCCCCAGCCCTGGGAAAGGTGATGGGGGCAGTGTGCCTGGGGGCTGGTACACCCCCGGCCCAGGGCAGGGGAAGGGGCAGCAGGTCCAGGCGCCCACCCCCCCCAAGAGGCCCCCAGCAGGGTCCTTCTCCCCAGCGTGTGGGGCAGACTCAGGGGGACTCTCTGGGCTGGCGGTGTCTGAACTCCATTTGCTTTTCTTCCCCTCGTAGGGAGGAGGGTCTTTGGGAGCCAGGAGCCCCTCGGGGCCAGCAGGAAAGGCTCTGGCTGGCAGGCTCTGGGCTGGCCGTGGCTCTTCCCAGAAGGAGGCAGGGAGCTGTCGCTTCCTCATGGGCACCTGGTCAGGCCTGGCAGCCTCAGGGTTCTGCTCCTGCAAAACTCGTTCCCCGGTGAGGCTCTCCTCCGCCTCAGCTGTCCACG